TAGCATGACCTCAATTAGAAATTAGTTCAAGGATAAAGAAATTGCTGTGATTCAAACTAGTAATCTTGTCTAAAGCTAGCATTTAGTCTCTGGAAGGGAAAAAATCCCATTAATTCTGTGTCTGTGTTGTGTATTTGTGCCTTGTACTTTAGGTATCCCAGGCTCTGCTCTCAAACCATTAAAAATCCAGAGGAAACCCTCCAGATAGACACTGCTATAAATAGCAGAAGATTCTATCATCTGCACCTCCATATGTCTGGGAATGGTTTGATTCCTTGGTTTGGTTTTAGATAATATGTAGGTGATATATAGACACTCCCAGTACCTGTCTCCAAGTTTACCTTTGGACTTGATGATCTTAGAGGTCTTTTCCCACCTTAATGATTCTATGATACCTGTGGGTACTGAATCATCATGTAACGGCAGCATCGCAAAATCACAGAAACCTTTTTGCGTTATCTTTTTCTAGGTGATAATCGGTTAGGTATTAATCCAGTCACCCTGCAGCGATGGATGTGAATTACATTCTCAGAAAGATGAGATTCCTTTTCAACCTTTTGGATGATTTGAGGAATACAAAGTAAATCTCACAAATGAATAGATATCAGAAAAGAAAAAACCCTTTTATAATTTGGGGGTGAAAGGGGAGGGAGGGGGGCACAGGAGCCGCCTCTGCATCCTCCTGCCGCGCTTCTCTGCTCCTTCTGCCCTTTTACTCTGTGGTTTAGCCATTAGGGCCAGAAAAGGCTGATTTCACCTTCCATGTTTTTAATAATGCATAGTACTTTGCAAGTTCGACACAACAGAAATAACATGGGTATCCAGTGAAAGCCAGGGCAACAGGCTGCAGAGCAGAGCTAATGGCTATTGCTCCCGGGGCCCAGGGCTGTATTTGGGGGGAATTTCCTTGCAGGGTGGCTGGGATTAAATTCACCGATGTTCATTGTTCCTGAGGATGATTTATTTCCTTTCATCCTTCCAGCAGGGAGTACAAATGCAAAACTTTCAGCTCAGAGATATTTTTCCAAATAAAGTATCTTCAGCTGTGGTCACTGGTGATTTGAAAACCCCTGCCAGTGAGAGATTTAGCCTTGAGCTGACTGCTATTGCTGAGCAGCTGAAGAGCAGCTGAAAAGTGGCCAGAAATGGCTTTTGATTTTCGATTAAAAAAAAAAAACAACAAAAAAAAACCACAGAACGAAAAAGCGTGCTTTGGGTTGGGGACAGTAAGAAGGGAGAGTTTTTTTGTGGTTATTCTGCCCTGTCTGAGAAGGGAAGCTTCTGCTTGCGTGGGGAACCGACTCTGGGTAGTAACAAGCAGGCAGAAGGCGGTTGGCTGAGTGAGGGAAAGGCTTTCCTCGCGGCGTGCTGACTGGAGCGATGGTGGTGCCTGCTGCCCCTTCGTCCAAGCGCGGATCAGCCCTTCGCAGGCTGGCCATCCTCGTCTCTGCACTTCCACCCTCCCCACCTGCCAGGGCTGGGCAGCTGGAGCAGCCTGGCTTGTTTCAGCTTTGTGTTTCTGCTAATGTGAAAAATATAAATGTGGAGTGGGCTGGTGGAACAAACAATAGCTGATTTACTTGGCTAATTCAAATAGCGTGTAGTGGGTAGCACAGGGAGGCTGCATCGCTGCTCCTGCAGTCATGCTGGGAGGGAGGTCTGCAGTGCCATTACATGCTATTATCGCTTTCTGGATAATGTATACACTTTCGCTATCACGTAGTTTTTCTCCTTCATTTTTCATGAGAACTGGCACTAGATTAATGGTTAAGCCATGGAAGAAACGTAATGCCACACCAGTCTGATTTATTGACCACTTAGTGCTGATGAAGCTGCAAACAAGAGCCAGACAGATGTTGCAGCTGCATTTTTCTTTATCAAAACTAACAGCTTTTGTGTCTTTTTAACCACTTCTTGTTCCATCTCCTGCGTACCCTGCAGCACCAGGGGCAGTGGAAGAAATTCCTTCTGCCTGAGACTGCCACCGAGGCGGCGGATGGGATGCCTCTGGTGCAGCGTGCCGAGGAGCCCGGCCCAGGCTGGGGACGGTGGCAGCAGCTTCGGCTCGGGTGCGTGGCGAGCAGAGCAGTGCTGTGGAGGCTCTGGGTGCTGAAGTTACGGGAGGCTTTGACGGGCATGTGTCCAGAGCCGCCTGCAGCCCAGTCCTGGGCTCCCTGCAAGACTTTCCTGCCACTCAGGGAAGGGCTTCTGCGGTGGCATTTCCCCTGTCCCGGCACGTTTCCCACGTGGAAGTTACATTTGTATTTTTGCTTTTAGTCTTTCACATGTCTTGTTCTACTGGTAGGTCTTCACAATGAAATAGTGATTCTCTGCTCATTTACATATGCATTCTCTTAATTTGTGTCAAAATATTTTGGTTTACGAGGTAGATTGACACTCATGAGACTTGCCAATCTGAGGTCAACTTTTAGATGTAGACATAAGGAACAAACTTGTTAATTTTGTGTTTATTTTATATGCTTTTATATATAAAAAGTATATATTCTAGTGCCAATCTGCTCCTGAGGGCCACTTGTTTCTGCTGCAATGAAGCCAGGAAGCCCCGTTGTCCTGACTTGCCTGGTGAAAAACGGGCACTTTCAGGCTATGAAGAATACAGTTTATCTGAAAAGAAGGAAGAGGCATCGGCAGAACTGCCAAGTCACCCAGCGCCGTGGCAGCAACATGAGCTTACTCTCTTTTTTGAAACTTGGCTCTGAGAGCAAGAGGTGTCTTAACACAAAATCTCTGAAGCATATTACTTTTTATTACTTCATCACCTACATCACTAATTATGTTAAATTAGCTGATGGAGACTATTTGGGTGTAAAGGTAATCATTTTTATTATCTGAATCTCTTCTGAATTATGCATGAGGACCGTAATGTTTCAGACCTCCCGTTTATCAACTCCCCAGTCCTGAGCAGTGCTGTCCACGCATGTTGGAAGCAGATCAGCTGCCCCGTTAATTCCCCGGGAGCCCCGGCTGTCACCTGTGTCGCCTTTAAAGGGTAGAACAGGAAGGCTGAGAGGAAAATGTGGCTCTGTTCTGAATGGTGACCTGAGGATTTGCACTGCGGTATGGAAGGAGAGGATATGGTGTTTTAATGTGTCCTTCTCTGGCTGTCTCTTGTCTGGGGCAGATATGCCCTGTGAAATGGAAGGTTTTGAACACATAAAAACTGAATATAAATCTCGGGAATAGAAGAGCTAATGGTTTTCTTTGGTCTAACACTTTCCAAAACTGCTCCGAGATAAGTTGTTAGCAGTTCCTTACTAGGTTTCCTTGCCTCTTCCCTGTGCAGTGCAACTCTCTTTAACACAGGCTGCAGGAATTTGATACTTTGATCTCACAGAATCTTCACTGAAAATCCCCCGTTTGCAGTTTTCATCAGTAGAGGGGAAAAAGCACAAGTTCCTGCTTGCACGTCTTTCTAGCTTAGAAGAGAGCTTCTTGTCTGGATGGAGGGACACATCTGGTCGCTGCATCCCCTGGCACCCTGCGGGGCTTCAGACAGGGAGAGCAGGGGCTGCGGGGCTGCTGCGCCTGTCACGCTGCTGCACTCGGACACGAAGGGGTGGCTTTCAGCTGCCGTGCCATCTTGGCAAGCCTCGAGGAGCTGGAGGACGTGGCCAGCTGTGCCCTGGTCCCGGGGCCGTGCAGGATACTCCCTGCATCCCGGGTTTGTGGTCACCCCTGCGCCCGGCAGTGGCCAGTGCTGCCCCACTGCTGCCCCAGCCCCAGGCTGGCTCCAGGAGCAGCAGCCCAGCATGCTGTGCCTGGCCTCAGTGCTGTGTTGTGCCCGTCAGAAGTTGCCTTCTGCTGGTCTCTCCTTGGTGCGGGTGTCCACGAACCGCTCCAGCCCTCTGTGGGTTTCGTAAGCGAGTGCTCCCATTAGCACAACCTTTGCAAACAAGTGATGGCTTGTGCTCCCTCTCTCACTCGGAGCAGGGCTCTAACAGCATTAATGAAACATTAGAGTTTTAATTACACCATTATCCTATTTATTTTTATAAATAATTCCAAAGCAGTCATTAAAGTTTGTGAACTTAGGAGTAAATGACTTAAGGGAAAGAAATCAGCTGCTCAATCTTGTTATTATCTATTGTACAATCTCCCTGGGATGCTGTTGGGAAACTAGCAGAGTTGTTTCTGTTGCTGATGTTAAGATGATGCATTTACTCGCAGGGTGGTAGCATGCTGCTCAGCTCCCTACCTGAAACGCCCGTGTCAGTGGGACGGTGCTGCAGTGCGTCAAAGCCGCGTTGCGTCCCCTCTCTCACCCCGTGCGAAGGTGCACAGGGAGGGAGGAGAGCATTAAGCAGCCCTGCGGGAGCGAGCGCCTTGCAGTTGTTCTGCAGCAGTTCTGCAGAGGACGCAGTCTCTTCCAGTCCCGACCTTCTGCTGCTTGCTGTTTTCATTGCAAAGCTACGAGATCTTCAAAAGACATCTTGGGCGTGTCTGGAAAGAGCCTGTCCTTGGGGCACTCTGTAACACTGTTTGTGAGCCTTCTTGGCTCTTCCCTCCCTCTTTCTGCCACTCTAGGGAAAGTATGGCTGTTACTGATGTTCAGATGAATTTCTGTATATTTAAAATAGCCTTATGTGGGCCGGGACTGATGAGAGCATTGAATCAAACAGACTGCAGGTCCCTTAAACCAAAGCAAATGACCTGGTGTTTGTTGCAACTGGTGTTTGCAGGACTCTTGCAAGTATTAAGTGTTGTATGGGTTGGAAAAAAAGTTTGCCCTGAGAACACAAGGGGAGCAGCGGAGTTGCAAGCAAAGGGCGCTTGGGATGGGGGGAAGCTGCGTGCACACTCTCACACCTTGTATTTTGCCACCGCTTTTAAAGAACAGCTCTGATCTCAGGGAAATCTAGTACATTCTGGGATCTAACCGCGATATGTTCTGTCATGGTTTTAATTAGGAAGATAAATGCAGAGAGCCCTGAGCGGGGGAGAGGCCCAATGACGTAACTTTTGCTCTGCTCTCCCTGCAGAACCCAGACATTGTGTTGGTGCACTACCTGAACGTCCCTGCCATCGAGGACTGCGGGAAACCGTGCGGCCCCATCTTGTGCTCAATAAACACAGACAAGAAGGAATGGGCAAAGTGGACAAAAGAGGAACTCATTGGACAGCTCAAACCAATGTGTGAGTATCTGGAGAATTTTTTGCTTTATGAAGGGTTAATTTAGAGTACGATATCTCTCACTGCCACCAACCATCCCTGTGAAGGGGTCATTTGTCACCGTCAAACTCAACTTGCATCTGCCTGCACTTTCTTTCTTCCCAGTATTCAGGGGGATGCATGGTATGATAGCTGCCCAGACTGTCCCAAAAAAGATCATGTCCCAAAAAAGGTCCCCTCCACACACTGGGGAAAAAAATTGTACGTATGATTTTGCATTTTCAAGCGCCGTTCATAGGCACCGACTCGCTTGCAAAGAGCCTTTGCAGTACTGGCAGGTAGGTTTTCCCTAAGGGCACTCCATGTTTTCGTGGTTCAGTGTCAGATCGGAACGGGTTGCTGTTGCTTACAGACGGACTCCGTGGCACTGAGTGTTTCAGGATGGGTATCGTTTACTACTGCTCTAAACTTTGCAGTCTAAAGAGATGGCTGCGCAAGTGTGCAGAGTGATCGGGAAGTTTTCTCTGCAAACAGGCAGTTCTTTGGACCTCTCTGCATCCACCTTGGAGTATAATATTTTCTTTCATATCACAGTTGTATTTTATGTCTTCACCTGAGTAATATGTCCCCGTGTGTACACAAACATCTTTTTGCAGTGAAAGAAAGATTAGGCATAGCGTGGGTCTGTAAATAAGAGAAAATTAACTGCAGGAGCCACAGTACCAATCTAGGTGCTTGCATCTGCGTCATCAAATGCCAGGTCTGCTTTTCTCCCTTACCCCTGCCTCTGGCTGGACGCTGGTGTCATGCCCAGCTTTCTGTAATTAGAGGTCACAGCCATGAAGTACATTCTGATGTGTCTCAACCATCAGTGAAAGATCAGTCTCGCACTGACTGCAGCATTAGTAATGTAAGTTCGCACCGCTTCGTTGTTGGATCCTGAGCTCTGCAGGCGCTTGTATTTCTTTTCCACACAAAGTTGGAGGACAGAAGACAAGAAGAAGAGAAGAGAGGAAATGACACATTTGCTAAACAGAATATTGCCCCTGGGACCGATAACCTTAGACAGAAATCCAGGATGTTGAAGGTGTAGCTGAGACTGGACAAGTACCTTAACATTAAACAGGAGAGGAAGTGGCAGCCTGTTAAAAAATCTGCAGTGCATCAAGAAAATTATGTGAAAACTGCAACAAACTCGCCATAAATTTAATAACACTTGGCTCTTTTATGTCTCAGGAGGGAAGAGGGAAATTCTGCACAATTATTCAGTGTATATATGCATGTACACGTCTCTGTTTATGGGTACATATCCTTGGAAACGCATCCTTAGAAATGTAGCTAAAATAAAAGCTTTAGATTCTGATCAGACCTAGAAAACAAAGAGGACATGGATAACCGTGTTGAGGGAGCACAAAGGGGCACTGCTCGCCAAGAAGCCATCAGATTTGGTTCCAGTATTGGGTGTGCCATGAAATTCTGGAGCCAAGCACATTAGTTTCATCACATTTTTGCATTAATCACATTCTTTCACAGCCTTCACGGTTTGATTGCCTGGTGTTTCCAAATTTCTCTGCCCTACAGCAGATTTGTCAATGACTTAATCAAAGCACTGTGCATGGTAGCGCCAGTGAAGCAACAGTCTCGCCCTTTTATCTGTTCCGTGTTGCAGTTCATCTAGTTTTAATCCTCTGGTCTTGGAAGCTGTGTGAGGTTTTTGTTGATTCTTTTGTATTCTTTGTTGCCGTTTTTCATAAGAATTTCATGTTTAAGACAAGTTAGTGATGATACAGCCAGGGTGCGCATGGAGGTCTGTGGCCAAAAGCTGTACCTGCAGGGAGATTTTTGCATCCTATTTCAGACCATTGATGTCATTCAGAATTAGGCGGAGAAGCTGATACTACTTCTGCCTTTGGGGAAATGCCTCCTCCTGGTCAGAGGCTAGTGACAGCGTCCAGTTCTCGACTCGCTGAGAACAAGAGCTGTTTGTTCAAGTCCTACTCAGCCTGGACTGGAGTCAGGTACTAGAGCTTTTGACCTCTGTCAGATATTAAAGTTTTTATATCAGAATCTAGGATAGCGGAGAGTCAGTGGTGTGGCAGCCAAAGGCTGGGAGCATGTTCTCTCTTGGCTGTGTGTGCCTGAAGAACTGAAAGTGATGTGGCAGATGGCTGGCGGGGAGAGAGGCATTGGTCTGAGAGTCCGAGCCAGACAAATACATCAGACTGTTTTTTCTGAAACAGAGATCCCCTGACTGGGATGAGCTGGGAGTTTGCTCACATTTCTTGCATCCATAATTCACTCAGCTTGCACTTCCTTTCCTATTGCATCATCCCACAGTCACCTCCGTGAGGGGCAGGATGCTGAGGTCTGGGCTGCGGAGAGGTGGCTGCTCCTCTCCTGGTCTTGAAGGATACCTCTATGAACCCCGAGCTTCATGACTGGCTTTAGAGGTGGCTTTTCCTAATGTTGTGACTGTGCTTGCGCTGGTGCTTATGGATGAAAAAATACCTCTTCAGGGTGGCCATACAGCTCTGAGAGGTTTATGGAAACGCGGTTAACTTGTTCTAAAGTAGCTGGTCTGTGAACTAATTGAGACTGAAGTTAACCCATCTGAACATGCATGAAAGGTAGATACTCACTGCAGATACTCTCAGGATTTGGGGTTTTTTCCAACATCACCAACTGAGTTGAGACTATAAATAACTAATTAATCAGCCTGACTTCAGCATTCAGGGCTTTGGATTTTTTATTTAGTTCTGATATATTTGTCATCTGCCTTTACGCTGGGACATCCGTGACCTGTCTGGACTATCACTGCTGGCTTCTCAGGCCACAGTTTGGCAGTCCTTGAGACTGAAGCAGACGAGCCTGGAAGGGCTGGATGCGTGATTCGTGACCCCAGCAAGATGGTTCCTCTCTCCTTCCAGGCTAGGAGATGGATGCCTTATCTTAGCAGTCTAAGCATGGTCAAGGAGCACAGGGAGGGCTGTAAAGCCTCCACGGAAACCTCCTGCTGCTGATGGCAGACCTGTGATAATCTGACTGTCGGCGGTGTTCTTACTGGTTGTCTGAATCAAAAGAGTCATCATGTGTGTTGCTTCTGTGTGAATACAACCTTTTGGGACATTTGTGCAAAATGAATAGCAATAATACATGAAAATTCTGCGGGAATGTTGTCTGAGACACCTGTAAGTCATTTCAGGATGCCTGGTATGAAGAATGGGCCTCAATTTGGCATTGCTTTCAATCCCCCACCCACCCCTTGTGCCCCGTTAGTCTTGCTTCGAGATCGCTCTGAAAGATTAGCAGATGTCCTTAGAGGCATCTGGTGGTAAAAGCAGAATGCAGTGGCAGAATCCAGCACAGCAGAATTCTGTGTATAAACTCCATATGATCAGCAAATTGTGGGCCAGCTCATGTTGGGGGTTTCTCCAATTCATCCCCTTTTGGCTTTCTCATCCTTCAGCTGGTAAAGTATGAGTTTCAAGCCCACAGCTGGTGCTATGTTGCAATCCTTGTTTGAGGTCCACTATAATTAAGAGCTATCTTGCTTTTGGAAAAAAGCTTTTTTCATTCCTCTGCTGCTTGGAAACTGATTGCTCCTGCTTGTGCCGCCTGCACACAGCCACAGCTGGGGAAGCTGGAGGTTTCACGTGGCACCCATCAGACTTAACACCTTTGGGCATATGCAACACTTGCCTCTCCCTGGAGTCACCAGTTCTGTTTTGTGTAAGTGAAACAGTCTGGGGCTCTTGGAGGTGACCTGAAACCGCATCCCTGTGTTGACATAGCTGGAGAGGGCATTAAACACTTGTAGCCAAGATTTAATAAGTTTAAATAGCAATAATTGGCATTAATATGATTTCAAGAATTGAGTTGTTGGGTATTTTTATCTGGACTTAAATTTATGTTAAATTTTAGTAATTGTGTTTAAGGGTTTTTTTATAGTTAATCTTAAAAGATCAATCGTACAAAAATGCTACATGGGATGATTTTTACTATTTGCTGTCATTGTCAGAGCTACAAAGTGACCCTCAGTGGAAACTGAAGCTTGCCAGCTTAGTTCCAACTGACCTCCTTGTGAAAAGTAGCTTAGATTCTTAAAGAGTTTAGTTTTAGTAATGCAGATGTCCAGTTTTTCTGGAATAGTACTCACATGTTACTATAATTGGCTGTGGTTTTTCATTAAAAAGAGAATACAACAGCAGGTGCGAGATAGGTGCTTATATCCCACTGGCCACTCAGACTTTGAGTACAGAATCACGGAATGGTCGGGGTTGGAAGGGACCTCTGTGGGTCACCCAGTCCAACCCTCCCGCCAAAGCAGGGTCACCTACAGCTGGCTGCAGAGGACCTTGTCCAGGCGGGTACCTCCCATTCCCATCAGCGGCATAGCCAGTATCAGCCACCTACTCGGTTTTGCATCTCCTCACCCAGACGCATCTTGCAACCCTTTCATTACCATTCTACGCATGGCTTGCATGTGAGAATTGCACCTTTCCACTTGCTCTTTTATCTGTAGTGGCCTTTATGTCCCTAGGGGAGCTGTTCCCATGCCTGCATGGGCCGCTCCTTACGAAACGTGGTTTCCCTCGCGCATTTTACCTACTGTAGGAAGCCCCTTTGCCGAAAGAACAAAACGAGCAACCATTTTTCACCGGGTGCAGTCTTTCAGCTGCGTTTGGAGATCTCACAGTAAAATAATGGCGCTAGCTGAAACGGAGCATTGATGGTAATCCAGTATGAACTGGACTGCTAGCAGTAGTGGAAACTAACTTGAGGAAAGCTAAACCAAATAGCGTCCTGCCCCGCTACGAGCTGGGTGCTGAACCAGGTTCAGCAACTGCAGAACCTCTCTGAGGACGCCCTGGGCACGCCAGCCTTCATTGTCTGTGCTTCCTTCGGGCTTTGTCTCCCCTCGTAGCATCCGGCTGCGGTAACCGTCAGGCTCGACACCAGAGCACCTGCTCAGGCGGAGGTCCCCCTTCCCCGGCGTTCCACACGGCTGGCAAACAGGTCATAG